TGATGCACCAAAGCTATTTCTGCCTCAGAACTGACTATTTCTCTCCTGCTTCAGAGCCTACTTTTCTACATATGTATCTCAAAGGCCATTTAGAAAAACCTCATCACACTCCATTATCATCAATGATTCTTGCTTTTACTCCTCACATTTTTACAGCTTCCTTTCCTCCTGGCACTTAACTGGATTCCATGGAGAGAAAGAGAGACATATCTGTTTAACAACTTAGTTACATTTTGAATCCTGAGCACTTAACAACAGGTATGTTTGTGCCAAAAATCTCACAAGGTAGAAGTTTTGAATAATTGTAGTAGTTTTTGGCCTTCAACCAAGAGGGCTCAAACTCAGTTCACATAGCAGGAATGCAAATACACTCTATTATCACTTTCTATGTCATTCTTTTTATTTCCCTCGGGTACATTCTCTCACTGAAAGCACCTCTTCCAGGATCTGGCTATAAAACAATATCTTCTAAACATATGAATAAAGTTCCACAGTTCCTAGGGTCTGGATATGAAAATGTCTATATTAACTTATGAATATTATTATAATCCCATTCCAGATTTTCTTGAATCTTATAATTTAAGCAACACCACATTTTTAAGAAACCAAAATTGAAAAAATATAAAAATTAAATTGTGAACCATTCTCCTTTCTTTACTATCTAATATTTATATTACTCCAGTAGGAAAGAGACACAGACATAAAACTATCTGCTTGTTAAATTCTGTGTTCAGAGAATGGCTTATTAATGTATGGCAGAATTATTTAAAGAAGTAATTTGGGTCTTCTAAAATGCCACACCATTTATTTATTTTTCTTTCTGGACTGGATATATTTACCTAGTACCAGTCCATTTCTTTCTTGGTTTTTCTAGTTTTGATCTTGAAATTACATATATTTTTACTTCTTTTTTTCTCTTTTAATTTTTATTTTGAAATTATGGGGTACAATTTAGGGTTAGGTATACAAATGTTCATTGTACAAGTACCCTTGTTGATGAGGTGTGCCCCACATCTCCAGGTGGATATCCACTACTGTCAATCCCAGCTATCTACCCCCACTCCCCTTCCCACAGTTTCCCACTACTTTCAATCCCTTTCCTACAGTAATATGGTAGCTATTCAAGGTCCACTTATGAGTGAGAACATGTGATATTCAACTCTTTGTTTCTGTGAGAGATCACTCAATATTATAAGCTCTAATTCCATCCATGTTGCTGCAAAGTTCATGATTTTGTTCTTCATTATGGCTGCGTAATATTCCATTGCATATATGTACCATATTTTTTTATCCAGTCTTCTTTTGATGGGCAACATGGTTGGTTCCATGTTCTTGCTATTTTGAACAATGCTGCAATAAACATATGTGTGCAGGTATCTTTTTCATAGAGTGACCTGAGTTCCTCTGGGTATATTACCAGAAGGAGGATTGCAGGATCATATGGAAGGTCAATTTCTAGGAGTTTTAAGAATCGCCACACTGATTTCTACAGAGGCTGTACTAGTTTACACGCCCACAACAGTGTAGAAGTGCTCCCTTTTCACCACATCCTCTCCGGGATCTGCTATTTTTGAGTTATTGATGGCCATTCTGACTAGAGTTAGGTGGTATCTCAGTGTAGTTTTAATTTGCATCTCCTTGATGACTAGTGAGACTGAGCATTTTTTCATGTTTCTGTTGGCTGCTCGTATGTCCTCTTTGGAGAAGTGTCTATTCAGATCTTTAGCCCACGTTGTAATGAGGTTGTTTGTTTTTTTCTTTTCAGCACGTTTGAGTTCCTTGTAGATCCAAGATGTTAGGCCTTTGTCAGACATGGAGTTGGCAAATACTTTTTTCCAGTCTGTGGGCTGTTTCTCTGCTCTCTTGATGGTTCCTTTGGCTTTGCAGAAGCTTTTCAGTTTAATGAGGTCCCACTTGCCTATCTTATCTCTTATGGCCTGGGCACTTCAGGTTTTGATCAATTCCAACTTCCATTAGAATGTCTTCTGCATTTTTTAAGGTTCTTACAGTTTAAGGTTTTACATTTAGGTCTGTGATTCACTTAGAGTTAATTTTTGTCTATGGGGATAGGTAGGGGTCTTGGTTCAATCTTCTGCATGTGGTCAGTTCATTTTACCAGCACCATTTACGGAATAGGGTCTCCTCTCCCCAGTAGCAGGTGGTGGAGGCTTTGTCAAAGATGAGTAGATTGAGAAATTGAGGTTTTGCTTCTGGAATCTCAATTCTAGTCCATTGGTCTATATGCCTGTTCTTATACCAATACCAGGCTGTTTTGATTATTGTGGCTTTACAGTATAGTTTAAAGTCTGGGAGTGTAATACCACCTGCTTTTTTTTTTTTTTTTTTTGCTAAGGATTGTTTTGGCTATTCTTGGTCGTTTATGCTTCCATATGAATTCCTGTATTGTTTTTTTCAAGATCTAAGAAGAATGTTGCTGGTAATTTGATGGGTATTGCATTAAATCTGTAGATTGCCTTAGGCAAAATGGACATCTTAACAATGTTAGTTCTTCCAGTCCATGAGCATGGAATATTTTTCCACTTGTTTGTGTCATCTTTGATTTCTCTGAGCAGTGTTTTGTAGTTTTCATTTTAAAGGAATTGTATGTCTCTGGTTAGGAAGTTGCTAAGGTATTTCATTTTTTCTTGTGGCTATTGTAAATCAAATTGTGTTTTTTATTTGAGTTTCTGTTTGTTTATTGCTGGTGTATAAAAATGTGATTGTCTTTTGTTCATTTATTTTATGCGCTGAGACTTTGCCAAAGTCCTTTATCAGTGCCCAGAGTTTTTTTGGCAGATTCTCTTGGGTTTTCAAGGTATACAATCATGTCATCTGCAAAGAGAGATAACCTGACTTCATCTTTTCCTATCTGGATACCCCTGATGGCCTTCTCTTCTCTGATTGTTCTAGCCAGGACTTCCAAAACTATGTTGAACAGGAGGGGCGAGTGGGCATCCTTGTCTTGTTCCAGTTGTCAGTTTAATACTTTCTTAAGTGTTTTTTATAGGGCTGATCTAGAGGCAGTATAAATTTTTAAGGATTGAATGTCAGGGAAAGATTTTAATTATCTTTGAGGAATTTGAAAATTGGGCTCCAAGCTCTCCTAACCTGAAGTGTTTCTGTAGATAAATCTGCTGCTTTTTAAATTGGTCTTCCCTGGTAGGTAGTCTGACCTTTTTCTCTTGCTGACTTTAGTAATTATTCTTTTATACAGACTTTGTTTAAGTGAATTAATATGTGTCTGGGAGTTTGTCTCCTCATTTGGTGTCTTGCAGGAATTCTCTGAATCTCTTGAGTTTGAATTTTTGTGTCACTGATGAGATGAGGGAAGTTTTCTTGAATAATTTCATGGAATGTTTGTTCCAGAGTTGTCTCTTTCTCTTTGTCTGCCTCAGGAAGTCCAATTACTCTTAGGTTTGGTCTCTTGAAGTAATTGCTCATCTTTTGAAGGTTTTGTTCTGTCTTTTTAAGCTTCTTTTCTATGGCTTGGACAGTTTGGGTTAGTTCCGTATTTTGGTCCTCAAGCTCTGAGATTCTTCTGCTTTCCATGCTTATTAGTTTTTATTTATTTCAATCACAATATTCTTTACTGCTTTAATGCTTTATCTCCATTATCAACTCTTTTCTATTTTCCTCTTGTCTCTCCTCAATTCTTTTTATTCTCTTTATTAGTGTCTTGATGTCTGGGTTTGTAGTATGTGACCAGTCATTCTAGGGGCACTTCATTGTTTGTGTTCCGAAGTCTGTTTTCTCAGTGTCTGGTCTCCCAGGGTCTGTGTGAGTCCTATATTTTTCTTTTGGTTTTTCTTCATTTGTGTAGATTTTCCTCCCTACTTTTTCCTTTTTTCTCTCCCTCCTCTTTAATTTTCTTTTGTTCAGGGTGGCAGGATTGCTTTTACTTCTGTTTGCTTGATATTCTATTCTTCCTTGTGTGAATCTTCTAGCTTTGTTTACTTCTGAAACTTGACTGTGGGTTGAGGACTGTATTTTTTGTTGTTGTTGTTGCAGTTTTGAGATTGAATTGATGGGGATGCTGTGATTCAAAAATCTATCTGCAGATCACAGTATCCACCAACAGGTGTATGAATACCCTGGAACCTACTTCCCACTGCCTTGCAATCTGTCCATGTGATTGGGGAATAGGTTTACTCCCTGAAAGCAAAATGTGGTAAGAAAAAGGAAAGGAATGGAACTGGGGAGGGGAAGAAGAGAAGGTGGAGAGTGAGAAGAGTAAGAGGGAAAACAGACAAATGTACCAACTAATACATGAAAAGAGACACAAAGAGAGAAAGAGTAAGAAAAAAACCAAAATACCATAAAAAACCCCAAAACAAAAAACTAAAGCATACAGACAATCATACAGACACACAAGTCAGTCAACCTCCTTATTGATACTATTCTCTTACATAAGCATGAAGTCTAAAGAATAAAAAAAAATTAGTAAACTAACAGAGGCAAAGCTAGTACAAAAACACTATTAATAGCAGTAAGAAGAAAGAAAAAAAAACAGGAAAAAAAAAAGAAAAAGGATAAGTAAAACAAACAAACAATACAAATAGAAAAAATATAAACAATGGCACCAAGCCAGTTCTTAGATCATTCCTCAAAGTCTAATGTCCTTTCAGCTCTGATCGCTAGTTCTCATTGCAGGCTGGTAGGGTTTTTACTGCTAGAATCTGATGTCCCAGGCCTGCTAGGGGTGGGGGGGAGGTGGTTGATCAGATCTAAGCTCAGCCAGCTTACTGCCTGAGAAGTCTGTCATTCAAGTCTGTCCTGTGTCTGATCTAGCATGGGGGAGGGGTTTTGGTCTCTCCCGGTTTGATTTTATTACCTTAGATCTCAAGCTGGAGGCAGGCAGAGCCAGGCAGAGCTGGCATGTTGGGTGGGTCAATGCAGTATCTGCCTAGTCTCAGAGCTCTAGCTGTTATTCCACCCACCTGCCAGGCTGAACTGGAGGAGGTGGAGTGTGGGACAGCCAGGAGCTGCAGGTCAGTGTGGCAATGGGTGGCTCCGGCTTGGTGGATGCAACAGATGTGGGGGCCCGAGGCTCCCTGGGCTGGGAATTGAGGGCTGCCTTGGGCAGGGGGTGGGAGCAGCCACAGGAAGGAGCAGTGGCGGTGGTGGCCTCTTCAGCAGTGTGGTGCATGGAAAGAACTCCATGGCTGGGAATCTCCAGCCGATCCAGGTGGGGCAATTGACTGTGGCCGTGTCTGGGGGGGAGGGGGCAACAGCGGTGGTGGCTGAACCAGCAGAGTAGGGCGTGGAACTGAGGGCCTCCAGCCCACAGGCCAATGTGGCCAGTGGCAACAGCAGTGGCGGCAGTGGTGGTGGCTGCAGCGGCCAACAGAGCTGTGTGCGGTGCCGTTTTCTGTCAGCCCTCAGACCTGTGTGACTGGCCAAAGAGCAGGCTGGCAGTGGCAGGGGCAGGAGGCACCAGGGGAGAGCAAAAGTCCCTATGGTCACTCCCTTTTGCAGAGAGTCTTACTGATCAACCTGCTCCTTTGCCATCTCTGTTTTTACTTCTTGATAGGAGTTGAAGTCTTTTGGTATCTCTCCATAGACATCATTTTTGTCTTATTGCTATATCATAACACACTGTCAGTCCTCTTAATAAGCAATTTAACAGTGTGATTTTGGCGTGATACTTCATAAAGACACTGCCTTAATATAGAATAAAGAATTCTTATGATGCACTAAATATCTACTATTCAATTTTACCTAACTTTAAATAATAAAATATTAAGATTATTTTTTATAATGCAGTCTTATTATTAGGGGTTAAGCGCCTTGTGTGACCAGTGATCAATAAATTATTTCTCTTCTCTGCTTGAAGTTTCAAATTAGAAATACATTTGAGTAATGAAGCTAGAGCTACTTTACAAGCTTTTCTGGTATTGTTGGTTTGATGACTTATAAGAAGTAGAAATATGTGAGAGGCTCACCCAACAGACTTCACTGGTTTCAAGGTAAAAAAAATGATGTCAAATAAAGGAAAGAGGTAGGAGTAGCAATTGATTATAAAGAATTTGCTGTGATGTCTCCCATTTTGTTTCAAAATAGTCGCTTAGCTTTTTAGTTAAACTTTTACATAAAATAATTTACTATCTACAGAATGTTAAATCATGCCCTCATAATTTTCATGAATTGTCAAAGATTTTGCCATTTCTAGGCCTTAAACTTATCAATTTTTATTTTTAATTCTAAGATTAAGATCAATGTACCTAAATCTTGTTACAAAAGACACCAGCCCTGCAAAGAACAACTGTTAGGCATATGTTAGAAAAGTAACATGTCTTTAGCAAGTATTGGCTAATGTAAATATGCAAAGCAACCTGGAAAGGGTAAAAACTTCCTTTATATAAGAAATCAATTCTTATTTAAAGTGAAACAAAATATTGCATTTAGACTTCGGTTCTTTTGGCTTCACATATTGGGCTAAACAAACAAACATGTTATATGTTTCTACTTATTTAATTTATTCAAATCATCTTTTACTTCCCCAAAAAAGTTTCATATATTTTTTCATGTAGAACTGATTCCTAGAATTTTTGTTTTTTGTTATTATTATTATTAGCCTATTAGATATTCTAACAGATTATGGTTGATATATAAGAAAATTTTAAATTTTCCAGATAAACTTTATTGACAGTTTGAATCAAAGTGCAACAAAGTAGTAGGTGGTGGGATCTCCTTGTGTGTTGAATTAACCCTTTCTCTGCCTTGCTTGTTTGAGTTTCAGCAGAATTTCACGTGACTGGCAGTGAGGCTGGAACAGATTCTGGAAAAGCCAAGACAAGGGCTGTTTCTAGCTTGCAGAGAACTGGCTTGCAGTTCCCAGTGGGCCTCATCAACACCTAAAATATAGGACAACCAGTCATGGGTGTGTGGTTCCGGCTGTGACTGCCGCTGAGTACAGCACAGTCATCCTGGAGTACCTCACCAGAGGTACCTGAATTGAAAGGAAATGAATCAAAAGACTTAAAGGCAAAGTGTATTACTCTTCATGACTTGCAACTTGTCATTTGTGGAAATGAAGAATTGGATTCTGTCATCCAGGCCACAATTGCTGGTTGTGGTGTCATTCTACACGTCCACAAATCTCTAATTAGGAAGAAAGGACAGCAGAAGACACCCTAAAGGATGTCTGCATTTCTTGTTATCTCAGGACTCTAAATGCTCTAACAGCTGCCCCCAGTGTTGATGATTCCAGAGTACTGTATATCTATGAAAAACACACTTTTGCCTCTTTAAATTCTATTTAAACAAGTTGGAAGTTTAATTAGTTTTCCAATCAACCAAATTTCTGCATTTGAGTCTGAACCATATTTCAGTGTTACCATGGCTTCAAAGAAGCTATTGATACCAAAGCAGTGGGTTTTGATTGAGTTGACTGTTTTTTAGAAAACTGGTTGGATTTTAATTTTGATGGAGAAGTTTTAATGCCAAACATTTGGTTTTATACAGACATTACTTCCATTCTGGTGAATAAGCACAATAAAGGTCATATCCCCCATCCCAAAATAATCAACTTTATTGAGGTACAATTTACCCTGAATAAAATGTGAGTGAAATATTGGATAAGCTCATCAACAAAGGGATCACTTGCAGACCTCTAAGGCTCCTTTCTTCATTTTCCTTCTCTCTGAATCCTCAGCAACTCTTCCCAAACTCCATTGTCTGTCTCTTCAGTTTTGCAAGACTGCAATTTTCCTTACTTCTTGGTATCTGCAAACAGCCTCCAGGTATAAAGACTGCAATATCAAAAGGCTTGTTTTGTTCTCTTCCTTTCTCAAGGATCATAGTTATGCTATCACCCAATGTATGAAAACAAATGCTTTATATATTTTATCCAGTTTTCTGGATTAAATATACATATATATACATTTATATATTTTAGATACAAGTCCTTTGTTGGATATAAATTTGGCAAATGTTTTTTTCCCAGTGTGTGGTTGCCTTATCACTTTAGTAACAGTGTCTTCAAAGAACAAATTATTATTTAAAAGTTTTGATGAAGTCCAATTTATTTAATTTTTTCTTATACAATATAGTTTATATTTTTTGTGTCTAATTTATGAATCTTTTGTCAAAACTTTGATCAATAAGAATTCTTCCTATTCTAGAAGTTGTATCATTTTATCATTTATATTTAAATAAATGATTTTTTTTGTTTCATTTTTGTGTATGACATAGCAAAAATTGAGAAGCCTATTTGCTTATTTATTTTACTTACAACTACCTAACTGTTCCAAAGCCATTTGGTGAAATGGTTATCCTTATCCACTAAAATGGCCTTTTCTGTGTTTATTTCCTCCTGGCTGTTGGTAATACTTCTCACAGTGATGTTATTCATTGGTACTTAGGTAAAGCACTTAGCCAAAGACTGACTGGAACTCTCCTCAGCGTGCTCTCTCTTGCTTGCTCTCACTCTGGCTCTGTTTTACTCTTTTTTTCTCAGCAGCTCTGTCATTTTTGGGACTCTCCTTAGCAAATTGAGGCCATTATGGCTATCCTACATTTTTAACACCCTTTTTTCAACTGTGGGAGATGAAAGGCTCTATTTGGGTTTCCTTTGCCCATGGCAACCTGGAAGCACTCCAGGAAGTGAGCTGAAATCACTATGGGTCTCACTTCATTTGCTTTCTTTTCACAGGAGTTACGATTCTGCACTGCCTCCTGTCCAGTGTCTGCAAGTTACAGTTACTCATATTTTGTCTAGTTTTTTAGTTGTTTACTTGGGAAAGATAACTGCTACTCCATTGTAACTGGAAACAGAAGTGACATAAAAAACAGAATTTATGATATCAAATAGGTTTTTTTTTTTTTTTTTTTTTT